AGTAGTAGTCGTAGTTCTCCTCCTCGTCCAACTGCTCCTCCTACTCCTCCTCCTGCTCCTCCTCCTCCTCCTCCTCCTCCTGCTCTTCCTCCTCCTCCTCCCTTTCCTTCTCCTCCTCCTTCTGCTCCTCCTCCTCCTCCTCCTCCTTGCTCCTCCTCCTGCTCCTCTTGCGCCTTCCTCCTCCTGCTCCTCCTGCTCCTGCGGCTGCTCCTCCTCCTCCTCCTGCGCCTGCTGCTGCTGCCTTCCTCTCCTCCTGCTGCTCCTCCTGCTTATCCTGCTCCTTCTGCCTCCTCCTCCTCCTGCTCCTCCTCCTCCGTCTCCTCCTCATCCTCCTCATTCCTTCCTCCTGCTCTCCTGCTGCTCCTCCTCCTCCTCCTCCTCCTCTCCTCCTCCTCCCTCCTCCTTCCTCCTCCTCCCCTCCTCCTCCCCTCCCGCCCCCTCTTCATCTCCTCCCCTCCTCCTCCTCCTCCTTCTCCTCCTCCTTCTCCTCCTCCTCCTCCTCCTCCTATGCGGCGCGCGCGCAGGCGGACCCCTTGGGGATCTGCCGACCCGGGCCAGTCCCAACCTGGGGCAGTCAGGCTTGACAAGATCCTGCGCGCAAGCCTGGGCCAGTGCGCCCCTGGCTCTGCAGGATCCCGCAAGGTCCGGCGCTCTGGCGGACCCCTGTCTGCATCGACCCCCCGTCCCTGGAGCCTCGAACCCCTCCGAGCCCCCCCGGTCTGGGTGCCGCGCTCCCGTCCCAGGGGCTGCCTCCCCGTGCCACCGCTCGGACGTCCGTTCTCCCCATGCGCTGCTCGGCTTCGTGCGCGCTCTTGTCCTCGAGGCGATCCAAGGTGCTCCAGGTCCGCTCGCGCCGCCGAGAAACATGCCCACGCCCGAGCGCTGCCAAGTCCCCTCGCGCCGCTGTGGCCGAGGGGGGAAGGGTCGGGGATGCCGCGTCGAGTGGTGGGCCGCCGAGCTTCTCCGCCGCCGCTCCCGTCGCCTCTCTGCCCCTTCGCCGCCAAGTCCACCTCTTCTGCGGCAACTCATAGTCACCAGACCATGCTGACTTGATGGCTCTTGCGAAGCGAACGCGGATCGACGCTGGATAGACGCTCATCGACGCTACATCGGTGCTATCTCATCGATTACCAGACGCTAGTCGACGCCTGCGCACTCGAAAGACGAAATTGCGTAGGTACACATGGCTCCCATGATACCTCCTTCCTTGCGCCCCCAAATCCGCCTCCGCCTCCAGCACTCAGGCCTGCTTTTGCTGCGAGACGCCGCTGTTGCCGCTGCCGCCAGCACGCCGCCCGCGCGAAAGCGGCTCGGCGTTGGTAGGAGAACGAAGAATGACACAAACATAAAAACTCGGAGGTCCGCGCGTATTTCTCGGATCCGACCTTTGGTGCGCGGCTTCGTGGGGGCCGCGGGGGGGCCCAACACAAGCGGGCAAGATGCTATTTTCGCATCGCGTTCGGCGATCGGGGGACCCACTTGGGCCCGAGGAGGAGGAGGAGGAGGAGGAGGAGGAGGAGGAGGAGGAGGAGGAGGCACCAGAGGTCACTCTGGCGAAAGGTCACTCTTTCGTCTAGTCGTCTATGCCATTCTTCGCCCCCCTAGTCGGAGCCGGTCCACGGCACGAGACGCCGAGGGCGGGTTGCAGCACCAGTGCGCACAGGAAGGGGGTGGAGGGAGGGGGGAGGGCTTCTCAGAAGGAGGCTGCTTCTTAGAAGGAGGCTGCTTCTTAGAAGGAGGCTGCTTCTTAGAAGGGGAGGGCTTCTCAGAAGGAGTGCTTCTCAGAAGGAGGCTGCTTCTTAGAAGGTAGGTGGGGGGAGGGGGGAGGGCTTCTCAGAAGGAGGCTGCTTCTTAGAAGGTGCCGGCCTTCCATCTACAGACAAGGCCCGCGCCTTCTATCACGGGCGCGCAAGCATGGATTAGCGATCCATGGATTTGGCGCGCGGTCGCCAAATCCATGGATCGGGGGAGGTGCCCTCCCCAAAATGCGGTCAACGCCGCCTCGTTCGGCGGCGGAAATCCGCGATTTCCCATGGAAACGGGACCCGCCGCTAATCCACGCCCCCTTGATCCATGTTTGCGATCGCCTGATTCTAACAAGCAGGGGTGCTTCTAAGAAGCCCTCCCCCTCCCCCCACCCCCCTCCTCCTCACCCTCCCTTCCCCTTCTCCTCCTCCTCCGCCTCCTCCTCCTCCTCCTCCTCCTCCTCCTCTACTGATCCCCTCCTCCCTCCTCCTCCTCCTTCCCCCTCCTCCTCCCCCTCCCCCTCCCCCTCCCCCTCCCCCTCCCCCTCCCCCCACCCCCCTGTGCGCGTGGCTGGCGCGTGGCTGGCTGAAGTCTGCCGTGCCTCGAGGCGGCGCCTCCGACGGAGACGGATCAAAAACCGCTGACCAGGCCGAGCCTCGGCGGGCACCGGCGGAGCACGCTGCCATGGTGCCGCAGGGCGCGCCGCCGCGGGCCATCCGGAAAGGCGAGGGGTCGTGCACAATGAGGGGGTGCCGGGATCGCCGCCAGGGTTGCTAAGTGGATAGGGGGTTCCAGGTGGATGCCAAGGTGGGTTATATCTGGCCCAACCTGGCTTTTAAGTGGGTTACGAGCGCCCCGAGTGGCTTAGGGGGATTCGATAACTCCGCTAAGTGGGAGCAGCCCGCTTAGCCCGGATCGTTAACCCCCCTAAGCCACTCGGGGCACTTGTAACCCACTTACAAGCCAGGTCGGGCCAGATAAAGCCCATCTTGGCATCCACTTGGAACCCCCTATCCACTTAGCAACCCTGGCGGCGATCCCAGTGGGGACGAGAGTAGGGTTTAGTCGGGCCGGTCCTCCTGCAGGTGGATTCTTGGACGAAGGATGCAAAATAGGCAAACAATGCCCCCCCAAGTGGTCAAGAATGGTCAACAAATCGTCCCCGAACTATTTTTTATTTTTGGATATACTCCCCCTGTAGAGGGACAGGCCCGGCATAAGAGTAGGGGAACGAAGAATGACATAGAAACTCGGAGGTCCGCGCGTGTTTCTCTCCGCGCGTGTTTCTCGGATCCGCGCTGGACCCCCCTGGCGGCGCCTCTGGCGCCGCCGCTGGCGCGCTCCGCGCGCCAGGGGGGGGGGTCCAGCGCGGATCCGAGAAATCCGCGCGGACCTCCGAGTTTTTATGTTTATGCCATTCTTGTTTCCCCTGGAGAGCACGCGAGAGGTGCCAGCAGCATAGCCGACGAGCTCTGGCAGACTAAACGCGCGGCGGCTCACGCAGCACCACGGCCAGGACCAGGGTGATCAGCGTGATGAAGATGATGCCCACGTAGAACAAAGCCTCCTCTCCGCCTGCCAGGGCGACGCTGCTTCCGCCAATGGTGTCCTGGCCCTCAGCAGCGAGCGCCGGCAGCTGGGACACGCTCAGGCTCGCCACCGCACCCGCGGCAGCGGCCGCCGACCGCTGCGCCGGCTGCGGCACGAAGGTGTGGCTGCCCACCCACAGCAGCGCCGTGCACAGAACGACGGCGACGAGGGGGCTGCTGCTGCGCGCCATTGCGAGCGACAAGGAGGGTCGGAAGCAGCACGGACCGGATCGATGTTCGCTGAGGCTTGCCTTGGGCCAGGACAGCTGTGGAGCCAGGGGGGGATGGAGGATACGAAGAGTAGGAGCGGTACGAGTATGAGTAAGGGTCAAGCTCGCCAGCCTCGAACGAGTCAGCAAATGCGGCCCATCCCCGTCCGTCCTCCTCTTTCATGGACATCCATTCTGTCACAATTCGGCGGTGGACAAACCTCTCTTTAGGAAACCACCCTCTAGTGAAAACGGCCCGGGACCAAAATCGACGGGCCTGGGAACGCAAAAATGACGGCCGCGACGCCCTCTCTCGAACCGTCAACGGCCAATTTGCGAATCGACGTGTCAGGGTAGGAGGTCTATCGACCTCCGAACAGCTGGATCTTCGGACTGTCGCGGGCTCCAACGCAGCGAGCGCGAGGTGCTCGCGCGCGCGCGCGTGGCCTCTGCTTCCGACGGCGTGGCAAAGAAAACGCCACGGGCCGCGCAGAGGCGGAACCAAAACTCCAAGACGACGCCTGCGCGGTGCCGAGGCGGGATTGCAACGGAAGTCCTTCGCGCCCAGAGGGCAACACGAGGGCCGCGCCGCAGCGGGGGCGCAACTTTCAAGCGAACCCAGCGAGAACCTCTGCCCTCTCGGGCGCGGCCCTGCTTCCGACGACAGGGCGAGCGACACGTACATGCTGCGCCCGGAATCTGCACGGCGTTCATACGAGAGCGGCATGTCGTCCGCTCGCGCGCAGTCCTGCGTCTGGCGAGTTTGCGAACAAAACGTGTGGTTCGCACCCAACGCAGGGATACAACAATGTTATCCATCGTGGATCCCAAACAACATGTTTTCGCATACCAGGTGATGCAACCCATGTGGTGCAAGCTATGCGACGCAAGCTATACGGTGGAAGCCATGTGGTGCAATCTACGTGGTGCAAGGCTGTGGCGTAAGCTACGTGGTGCATGCTGAGTGGTGCAGCCTATGTGGTGTGAGTGAATGTGGTATAGGACCTGTGGTGCAGTCTATGTCGTAGGAGAATGAACGCACGAGAGAGCGTGCCCGTGGCGCCCCCCCAAAGGGGTGGGTACCCCCCCAGCCCCCCCCCTTGGACCTGCCCTGCCAGAAGCCCGCCCCCTCCTTCTTTTTCTCCGAAAGCTACCCTGCCCCCCTGCGCTCCGGAAGCTACCCCCCCCCTTTCCAAAGGAAGGTGGGGGGGCTGAGCTGCCCCCACCCCGCCTGAACCTGCAGGAAGCCCCCCGCCCCCCCCCCCTCTAGCTACCCCGCCCTCCCTACTTTGGCGCTCCGGAAGCTACCCCCCCCCCCTTTCCACAGGAATGGGGTGGCTTAGATGCCCCCCATCCCCCTTGGACCTCCCCTGCCGGAAACCGCGCCCCCTTCTTTTGTTTCCCGCCCCTCGGAAGCCCCCCCCCCCCCCCGCTCCTTTAGCGCTCCGGAAGCTCCCCCCCCCTCCCTTTCCCAGAGGGGGTGGCGTAGCTACCCCCCACGCCTTTAAACTTTGGACCTCCCCTGCTGGAAGCCCCCCACCCCTCCGCTCGATTTTCTGCTCCTCGGAAGCGACGCTCCCCATGCGAACGCCGCCGCTGGAGCCTTCGGTGGAGCTCCTCATGGGGCCACGAAGCGCTGTACTGGGCGGGGGAGATACATGCGAACACCGCCGCTGAGGCCTTCGGTGGAGCTCCCTTTAGGCCCACGAAACGTTGCACTGGGTGGAGGAGACGCATGCGAACACCGCCAGTGGAGCCTTCGGTGGAGCTCCTTATGGGGCCACGAAGCGCTGTGCTTGGGGGGGGGGGCATCCAGACACCGCCAGTGGGCCTTCGGTGGAGCTCCTTATGGGGCCACGAAACGTTATATTGGGTGAGGAAACACATGCGGTCCTTGGGTGGAGCTCCCTATGGGGCTGCGAAACGTTGTACTGGGTGGAGGAAGCGCTTTTGACACCGCCACTGGGGCTTTCGGTGGAGCTCCTTATGGGGCCACGAGGCGATGTACTGGGTGGAGGAAACGCATTCGGACGCAGCCGCTGGGGCCTTCGGTGGAGCTCGTTGTGGGGCCAGCAAGAGCTGGAAAACGCATGCGGATACCGCCAGTAGGGCCTTCGGTGGAGCTCCCTATGGGCCACGAATGGCTGTACTGGGTAAAGAACACGCATGCGGATACTGCCACTAGGTCCTCGGTGGAGCCCCGTATGGGGCCACGAAACGCTGTACTGGGTGAGGGAAACATGCGAACCATGCCACTGGGGCCTTTGGTGGAGCTCCCTATGAGGCCACGAAGCGTGTGAGGGGTGTGCCCAAGTGGAAGGGGGGCGGCATGTGAGCGCAGCCACTAGGGCCTTCGGTGGAGCTCGTTGTGGGGCCACGAAACGTGTGAGGGGTGTTCGAAAGTGGACAGGAGGCGGCATGTGAACGCATCCAGTGGGGCCTTCGGTGGAGCTCCCTATGTGGCCACGGAACGTGTGAGGGGTGTGCCACGTTGGAGAGGAGGCGGCATGTGAACGCAGCCGCTGGGGCCTTGGGTTGGGGCCCGTATGGGGCCACGGAGCGTGTGAGGGGTGTGCCAAAGTGGACAGGAGGCGGCATGTGAACGCAGCCGTTGGGGCCTTGGGTGGAGCTCCCTATGGGGCCACGGAACGTGTGAGGGGCATGCCAAAGTGAACAGGAGGCGGCATGTGAACGCAACCGCCGGGGCCTTCGGTGGAGCTCCCCATGGGGCCACGAAGCGTGTGAGGGGTGTGCCAAAATGGACAGGAGGCGGCATGTGAACGCAGCCACTCGGTCCTTGGGTAGAGCTTCCTATGTGGCTGCGAAGCGTGTGCGGGGTGTGCCAATTTGAGGGGGTGACGGGAGGAGGGAGGAGGGGGAGGAGGAGAGGAGGGGAAGCTGATGATGATGATGATGATGATGATGATGATGATGATGATGATGATGATGCCGATGATGATGATGATGATGATGATGATGATGATGATGATGATGATGATGAAGATGATGAAGAAGAGGAGGAGGAGGAGGAGGACGCGGGGCACCGTCTCTTCAAAACGAACAGTTAACACCGCAGGGGATGGTGAGGAAATCATGAATAGCTTTAAACCCCCCTCCCTTGGCAAGCCAATATCAGCTGCGAAAAGAAGGGGGGTTAGCTTCCGAAGCCTCTCCTTTGAAATGGAAGCCTGGGCACTTGGAAAAAGAGGGAGGGGGGGTAGCTTTGAAGTCCCCCCCCTGGCACGGCAATCTCAGCTGCGAGCGGGAAAGGGGGGGTAGCTTCCGAAGCCTCCACCCCCTTTGAAAGGTAAGCCTGGGCTGGCCTTGGGCTCCAGAAAAGAAGGGGTCGCTTCCAAGCCCCCCCCCCCTTTAGCTAGGGCCCCCCTGGCTCCGAAATGTCAACACAAGGAAGGGGGGGTAGCTTCGGAAGCACCCCGCCTTTCCTAAGGGAGGGGGGGTAGCTTGAAGCTGGGGCCCCCATTGAATGAGAAGTGCGCCACAAACGCGCTCTTTCTAACGTGCTGATCTATGCGGTGTGAGCTATGTGGTCTAAACTATGTGGTGTCCTCTATGTGGTGCGATCTATGCGGTGTGAGTTATGTGTTGGAGTCTATGTGGTGTAAGCTACGTCGCACCCCGCAGTTGCGGATAAGAATAAGAGGGCGGGCGCAGGGTGGGTCGCGGGTGGATGGCGGGCGAATCGCGAATAAGTCGCAGGGTGGGTCGCGTGTGGGTTGCGGGTGGGTCGCGGGTGAGTCGCGGGTGGGTCGCTGGTGGGTCGCGGGTGGGTCGCGGGTTGGTCGCGGGTGGGTCGTGGGCGGGTCGCGGTGGGTCGCGACTTGGTCGCGGGGTGGGTCGCGGGTGGGTCGCAGGCGGGTCACGGGCGGGTCGCGAGGTGGGTCGCGGGTGGGTCGCGGGTGAGTCGCGGGTGAGTCGCGGGTGGGTCGCGGGCGGGCGACGGCAACAACAAAAGCAGCAGCAACAACACCAACAACAGCAATAACAACACCACCACCAACACCAACACCAACACCACCAACAACACCACCACCAACAACAACCATAACCAACAACCAACAATCAACAACCAAGAACCAATAACCACAACCACCACCACAACAACAGCATCAACAACAACACTCATCTCAACACTGTTCGCTCATATTTGCTCGCGGGCCATTCAACACGTATATCCAAACCCTCGGTACCCGCCCGCTTCGTCTTTGATCGTGTCCCCCTTAGGGATATACATATATATATATATATATATATATATCTTCCTTACATGCAGCGTGTATTTCGTGCAGCCCCTAGGGCAAGGGAAGTGAGGACGGATGGAAGGAATACGCAAGGGAGGAGAGCAGGATGGAACACGAGAGAGAGAGAGAGAGAGAAGCAGGAGAAGGGGCTAGGAACAGAACGCACGTGACAGAACCAGGCGGGCAAATCGGGCGGGTAGACCCTCACGGGCGGGTCGGGAAGGCGGGCCCAGGCGGCCAGATCGAGCAGGCGGGTTGCTGAAGCGTGCGTCCTGCAAGAATCGCGAGGAAGTCTTGAGCGATAGCGCGATTCCCATATGAATCGTGCGGAAATCTACAGCGAGAGCATAATTCCTCAGTGTCGAGGGCGCGGCGTCTGAACAAATGGCGAGGACGTCCCACGCGAGAGCGCGATTCCTTCTTAACCTGAGAGGGCGTCCCACGGTTAATTGTGTCTGTGTGTTTTTACCGCTCCTGAAAACCTGGACCCTCGAGCGGGGCGTACATCCTTCGCGGACATGTACTCGCCGAACAGTTTCTCGAGCACCCGGGGCAGCATCTCGGCCACGAAGGGGTCGGGGTGGAGCTCCTGGCGGGGGGCCTCGCTCGTGACGAACCGTCGCCCTCGTCCTCGTCCTCACCCTCGTCCTCGCCCTCGCCTTCGTCTTCGTCGCCGTCATCGCCATGATCGTCGTCGTCCGCCGCCGCCTCCTGCTCTTTCTCCTGCTCCGCCTCGTCTTCATCCTCGTCCTCGCCCACGCCCTCGTCGCCATCGTCGCCGATATTGCCGTTTTCGTCGCCGTCCTCGCCCTCATCCTCCTTCTTTTCCTCGCTCCTCTTCCCCTACCCCTGCCGGTAAAGGGTCGAGGAGGAGACGGGGGAAGAGGACGGAAAGAACGAATGATCAGGGGACCCTTCGCATTGCTCTTCCTTCTCCTCACCCCTGCTGCTGCAGCACCTGATTTCTCCTCCTCCCTCCTCCCCTATTACCCCTGCTCCTCCATCCCGTTGCCTTGTAGAAGACTCCTTCATGTCGCGCCCCCCATATTTGTCAGTAGTACTGGCCTTCGTTTCGCCTGAGACTTCCTCACCATGTTCGATCATCACGTTTGAAAGTTGCATCGGTAACAAGGAGGAACAAGTGGGGGGGAACCTTGAGTTTCTGCCTTTGGGCTGCGCGCGCTCGTCTAGAACATTGCAGCAGTTGCATGGGTGGAGGGGGCCGTTTTCAAAATGGGCTTCTCACCTCAATGCCGCGCATATTTAATGAGATTTGCTTACCTTTTTCACTGAACCAAGCGGCTGTGGTTTCTACTGCTCCCTCTGCTTCCTAATCCAGCCTGCCCACTCTAATGATACACTGCTGCATGAACACATGAGTACTCTGATCTATATTCGTCCTAAGAACTTGCAGCAAGTGCACTGAATGAACACAGCTCGTGCTCACCATGGAGCTCTCGCCTCGGCGCCCAAGCGCCCCTCGTACCTGGTCTCACAGCTTGCAGCAGCAGCCAGGGTAGAGGGCGGGCGGCTTCTTCAGACTGGGGTTCTAGCTTCAGCGACGCGCGCTTTCTTAATGCAAAGCTGCAACACTTACAAGGATGCGGGACAGTTCCTTTTCAAACCAGGCCCTTCGAGTAGTAGTTCCTTGGATCTCAAGGCCAGGAGCTTCAGTATATGCAGCAGCTGCGCGGATTGAGGGCGGTTCCCTTTTCAACATTGGGGTCTCGCTCGGAACTGCCTCGAAATTCATGGCCCAAGATGTAAACGTGTGCAACTTACGAATAGGGAGCCGTCCTGTTTCAACACACGGGTTTCGCCGGATGCTCGAACTATCTGGTCATACCACTTCGGATGTTTGATTACGCGCTGAAAGCATGCAGTGCAGTTCTTTTTCAAGCGGGGCTCTCGTCTGAATGGCAAGTGCATCGGGTGCTGGTCTTCCAAGTGGGCGCTGCTGGTATTGACAAAAGAGCGCTTGTAGGGACTCATGAGGAGGGGGCTGGGGACGGGTCTATTGCAGCATCGCTGATGCATCTGGGGTTTACTCTGGCCCTGCTCCTCCTTCTCGTCCACCCTTCCCCCTCGCCCTTCTCATCCCCCCGTCTGCGTTCTCCTCCTCCTCCTCCTCCTCGTCCTCCTCCTCCGTATCCTCTCCTCAGCGACTCAGCGACCCCGGTGCGTCTGACAATCCGACGGACAGCCGACACACAACAACAACCTCCTCCTCCTCAACCTCCTCCTCCTCCTCCTCCTCCTCCTCCTCCATCGCCCTGTCCATCCCTCTGCTCTTCTCCCTGCTCACGCAGGAGCGACCCCAGGCAATCATAACGTATGGTGCGCGGCTTGCCGATCTTTGGATGCGATGTGGCAGTCGCGGACCGCGTGCTCGGGTTGGCCGCCCCCCCCGCCCGCCCCCCCCGCCCCGCGCCTCCCGAACGCCGCGCAACCCAAAGGCCATTCCCACGCGTAGCCGAATGCCTCGGCTCCCCGGCCGCTCGCCGGCCGCCGCCGCAGGGCGCGCCCGCGAGCGCGCGCGCTGTGCCGCGCGGGCGCCGGCGGCCGATCGCGGGTCCTGGTCGACCAGCTGGTTCAGCACGGTGCTCGCCACGATCCGCGTCGGGGCCGCGCCCATGAAGCTCTGGCCCTGCCACCACGCGAGCGCCTCGCGCGGCGCGCGCGCTTGGCGCTCCATCCACCTCCCCCCCCCCCCTCTGCTCTGGCTGGCCCGCCAGCCCTCCGCGCGCCCGCCGAGAGAGAGGGAGAGAGAGAGGAGAGGAGAGAGATGCGAGAGGGAGCGGCGGGGGGTCGGGGACGCGGGGGGGGGGGGAGAGAATGAGGGGAGGGGGGGGGCGGAAGGGGTAGCATGACAGGGAAGAGGCTGGCGGGGCGGAGGGAGAGGCGCGTGATGGGGGGGGAGAGGGGGGAGGCCGAGGCGAGGAGAGAGGAGAGGAGGCAGCGGAGGAGGAGGAGGAGGAGGAGGAGGAGGAGGAGGAGGAGGAGGACCTGTGTAAACCTAAGAGTCATCAACGATGTTGAAAAATAACCCTCCCTGCAAGCTCCCTATTCATAGACTGCTTCGTTGAGAGACAACCGTTTGAAGACCCTGAATCATGCCAAAACATGGTCCTCGGGATTCTATAGCCACGGATCAACTTGACTGTTGCGTCTTGACGATCCTGCCTCGTGCCAGAACGCCATTTCTGGGACTTCAAATCGCGAGCCAACGTAACTGTTGCACCCTCATAATCCTGAGTGTTTCCGAGACGTCATTTCTAGTACGTTGACCATGGGAACCCGTGAAACTCTTGCAATTGTTGCAAACGAATGTGCGAGGCGCTCAGGCGAGAGCCACATTTTGAGCCCCCCCCAATTCGTCAAATTCTTGCATTTTTTATAGCGAATGTACGCGGCGCTAGGGCGAGAACCACATTTTGAGAAGGAACCGCCCTGAATTCGCGAAACTCCTGCAATCTTTTAAAACGAATGCACGTGGGGCTAAGGCGAGAGCCACATTTTGGAAACGGTCCGCCCTCAATCGATTAAACTCTTACACATTCTGCAAACGAATGTGCGCGGCACTAATGCGAGAGCCACATTTTGAAAACGACCCGCCTTCCACCTGTGAAACAGTTACCAATGTTTAAGCTCCGAGGCCGTAATGATGAGGACATCTCAGGCGAAACGACTGGCCCGCTTAAAAAACTGGCCTGGGGTGCGACAGGGACAATTATTTATACGGAAAAGGGATGGAGGAGGAGGAGGAGGAGGAGGAGGAGGAGGAGGAGGAGGAGGAGGAGGAGGAGGAGAAGCAGGAGGAGGAGGAGGAGGAGGAGGAGGAGGAGGAGGAGGAGGAGGAGGAGGAGGAGGGGGGGGAGGAGGAGGAGGAGGAGGGGGAGGAGGAGGAGGAGGGAGGAGGGAGAGGAGGAGGCGGAGGAAGGAGGAGGAGGAGGAGGCGGAGAAGGAGGAGGATGAGGAGCAGGAGGAGGAGGAGAAGGGGGAGGAGGGGGAGGAGGGGGAGGAGGAGGAGGAGGAGGAGAGGAGGAGGGAGGAGGAGGAGGAGGAGGAGGAAGAGGAGGAGGAGAAGCAGGCGGAGGAGGAGGAGGAGGAGCAGGAGAAAGAGGAGGAGGAGGAGGAGGAGGCGGAGAAGTGGGGGAAGGGGGGTGAAGGGGAGGAGAGGGATAGGGAGACAATGCCAGGTGATGAGGAGAAGGAGCAACAGCAGAAGGAGGGGACAAACAACTCACGACTGGAACTCTTGATCCTATCTTGATGCTGGATCGACGTGTGAGGGCCTCGAGCGCCGAGTCGTGGCGGGGCTAGCAAACCTGCCGTGATTTTCTCCGACGCTAGGATGCCAGGATCCGTGAAGAAATATCGGACACCTCCCCCTCCCACACCAGAACCGCCCAGGCCCCCCCTCAACCGCCCTCCTCCCCTTCTCCCCTCCCTTCTCTCTTTCTCCTGCCTCCTCCCTCCCTCCCTCCTTCCGTTCCCTCCTCCTTCCTCTCCCTCCTGCCCCCTCAGGGGCGGCGGCGGCGACGATGTCGACAAAAACTCGGCCTCTTAGGCCTTGCGACCAGGACCCCCCTGCCCCCTGAGGCCATTCAGAACCCGCCGATTCCTCACCACAGCACCAACCAGAACCTACAGGCTGCAAGACTTCCTTCCTCCCCTCCCCTCGGTTCCCCCTCGCTGCCCGGCCTCCCCCTGGGCCCCCGCAGCAGCGCCAGGCCGACGCCGCTAGACGGTGACGGCGGCGACGACAACGCCCTGGCGACGGTGACGGCGGCGACGACGACTCCCACGCGACGGCGGCAGTGGAGACCTCGTCGGCGGCAGCGGCGGCGGCGGCGACTGTGGTGGCGGCGGCGGCGGCGGCGGCGGCAACGGTGACGGCGGCGACGACGCCCGGCAATCCTGATCCTGGATCCCAGACCGCACCGACGTTGTGAGACGTTCAGCGCGTGGGCCCCAGGCCCGTTCCTGCCAGGCAATGCCGACGGGGTCACCACGCGGGGGGTCGCCAGCTCCTCATGGAAATGGAACCGTCGATGAGGCCCTCGGCCGCGACCCCGAGGGTGCCGCCGAGGCGGAGGAGGCTGACTGGAGAGGAGGCGGCGCTGCAGGACGGGGGCGCAGAGGAGGCGGAGGTGGAGGAGGCGGGGTGAAGACCTCCGCCGCGAAGCCCTCCGAGGACGAACCCTGAGGGCACCGCTGTGGGGGCGACGGGCGGCGAGCTGACGCGGCTGGATTCTCTAAGGACCCCCTCGGGGAAGTATCGAGCTCGAAAGGGGCGAGGGCCTATGAGATTCTTGCCTGGCTCTGGGCGTTTCTGGCCGGCTCCGGGGGGGTGGTGGTCGGGGGCCCCTGCGGGGACCTCCTCATCGAGGAGGTGGCTGAAGGGGCCCCAGGACACACAAACACATACACACAACTAAAAAGATTCCCCACACTTTCCAATCTTTTGGGTTTTTTTGTCTCCCCCCCACTTCCCATATTTCCCAATCTTTTCTGGGGAATCGACGATTCATTGTGTCTGTGTGCTTCTTTCCCTCGCCCGCCCTTCGCCGGCGAAGCCGCGCGCGTCCCCGGGCGGGGCGGGCCGTCGTCGGGCCCCACAGCCACGAGGAGAGGGCGAGAGGGGGTCGATGCGCCCAGCCCTGTGAGCCCATCTCGGCTACACTTGGCGGCGAACGAGGGGGGGAAGTGAAGAGGAGAAGACCTTCTCGGACGGCGGCAGGGCCTCTCGGAGGCCCTCGGGCCTTCTGAGACGCTCTCTCTTGTCTTCGGGGAAGGCCCAGGACACTTCTCTCAGAAGGCTGGGGGGACTTCCGGGCCTCCTGAGAAGGCCTTCTCCTTCTCACTTCCCCCCCCCTCGCCCGCCGCCGATACACGCAAGAGTGACCCTAGGCGCGAGCAACATTTGGTGGCCAATCCCGCGCGCGCAAGACGCCTGCCTCGCATCGCGTTCGGCGATCGGGAGACCCCAAGTGGGCCCACACCAAAGGCCATCCCGGCGAAGGATCACTCCCACGTCTATAGTCGACCATCCCCCCCTTGACGCTGCCCCTGGCCCCCGAGCCGGACGACCCAGGCACCCGAGGTCCTCATGTTGCTCAGGGCTGGCTCCTCGGACGTCCCGCCCCGAGCTTGACCAGGGGGCAGACAGACCTACCCCGCTTTAATTTGACCACCCTCGCTCCCAAGAGATACCCCAAGCGATGCCAGACTACGGCCAGCACTGGTCATGCCGCTCGACGAGGATGGGGCGTGGTATGCCTTGGTTTTGCCTGGAAGCGAAAGCGGGGTAGGTAATTCACGCTCTGATCATTGACTGCCCTGTCTCCCGAGGTGCCTCCTGACTGCCCTGCCGGGCCCGGCGAGGGGCTCTGGAGAGGCCGGACGCCGCCAGCAGCCTCTCGGCAGGATGACCCCGCATCGAACCGGAACTCCGAATCGGCCCTCCTCCTCCTCCTCCTCCTCCTCCTCCTCCTCCTCTCTCCTCCTCCTCCGCCTCCTCCTCCTCCTCCTCCTCCTCCTCCTCCTCCTCCTCCTCCTCCTCCTCCTCCTCCTCCTCTCCTCCTCCTCCTCCCTCCCCCTCCTCCTCCTCCTCCTCCTCCTCCTCCTCCTCCTCCTCCTCCTCCTCCTCCTCCTCCTCCTGGCCCAGGGGCACCCGAGCGGGCCCCCACCCCCGCCGCAGTGGGGGGCCCCCAGGCTTTGGGGTCAGGTCCCGATCTCGCCACGCCACGGGCGCAAACCTGCCGGGCCCCGGCCTCGAACTACACCGAATCGGCAGAAGTCGGCAAGCAGGTCGGAAGGCATCTTAATCGACGCCCGCCGGTCCAGGCCGAGGCATACACGAGGGAATCCGAACAGACATCGAAATCCAGAGCCGCATCGAATCGAAATCGGAATCCTCGAAATCGAAGACAGACATGCGACGTCTTGTTTTTTTCAGGACGGCGTCCCAGTCCCGACCCTTTCCCCGGGACCGGTTTTTCGTCCTGAACCGTTTTCTGACGGTCCCGAGGTCCGGCGAGGGCCCTCCAAGGCCGAACATAACCCAAAACCTCCCGTCCGGATCTTTCTACGACGCGAGCAGGTCTGGGAATCGACACGAGTCGAAGTGGCTCCTGCACCGTCGTTTCTTCTCACTGAGCAAGCACCCTGACCTTCCAGAGAGCTATTTCTTAGCACGGGAGGCCTAAAAACCTAAGAAACGAAACGAAACAGCCTAAAACCAAGACGTAGAATAGCTCTGGGATAGGTTTTTAAGTCGCGTGCTATTTTTCAGCCCTCCTGGAAGGTCAGGGCAGGTCTGCCCAGGGCCGGCCTCCTCTCTGGCCTGCAGCAGCGCCGGGCCGGCTCCGCCCGCGTGCTCCGAGGCGTCCGTGGCGGGCGCGTCGGCGCTCACCGCCGCGCCGAGCGCGTCCTCCCGCGGGGCGCCCCGCAGCCGCCCGTCGCCGCCGCCGCGCATCGTCGCCGACCCGACCCACCCGTCAGGGCTCTCGCGTGCCATCCCAAGTACAGTCGGGGCGTTGACCTAAGGAACCCTCAATAGGGAACGAGGCCCCCTTCCTCCCAGAAGTCAAACTTCGATTTCCCATGGGAGAACCTAAGGAAAACCCAAGGCGAACTGCAAAACAATCCAGGAACACCGAACCCCTCCCCGACGAAAAGGGCTCCTTCTTCAGCGCCCAGACTGTACGCATCACACTTTGACGTCCCGCCCGCCCGACCCGACCCGCCCGTCAGGGCCCGCCCGCCCGACCCGACCCGCCCCAATCGCTAGGAGGGTCCACCCGCCCGACCCGACCCGACCCGGCCGCTGGGGCTCTCGCGTGCCATCTCGATTCTGCACCGTCCCGCCCGCCCGATCCGACCCGTCCCGCCCGTTAGGGTCCGCCCGACCCGACCCGACCCGCCCGTTAGGGCTCTCGCGTGCCTTCTCGACTGTGCTGCACTACACTCTGTCCCGCCTGCCCGACCCGATCCGCCCGATAAATTTCGCCCGCCCGACCCGACCCGACCCGGCCGCTAAGGTCCGCCCGCCCGTCCCGACCGACCCGCCCGTTAGGGCCCTCGCGTGCTCGCTCGTGTATGCGCCACACTTCAATGTCCCACCCGCCCGAGCCGAACCGCCCGTCAGGGTCCGCCCGCCCGTCCCGACCCGACCTGCCCGTTAGGGCTCTCGCGTGGTCGCTCGTGTATGCGCCACACCTTAATGTCCCGCCCGCCGACCCGACCCGCCCGATAGGGTCCGCCCGCCCGACCCGACCTGAACTGGTCGCTAATGTTTGCCCGCCCGTCCCGACCCGACCCGCCCGTCAGGGTTCTCGCGTGCTCGCCCGTGTACGCGCCACACTTTGATGTCCCGCCCGCCCGAGCCGACCCGCCCGACAGGGTCCGCCCGCCCGACCTGGCCCGACCCGCACGTTAGGGCTCTCGCGTACCATTCCGATTACGCACCACAATTTAATGTCCCGCCCGCCCAATCCACCCGCCTGATGGGGTCCGCCCGCCCGACCCGACCCGACCCGGCCGCTAGGGTCCGCCCGCCCGTCCCGACCCGACCCGCCCGTTAGGGCCCTCGCGTGATCGCTCGTGTATACGCCACACTTTAATGTCCCGCCCGCCCAACCCGACCCGCCCAATAGGCCCACCCGCCCGACCCGACCCGACCCGGCCGTTAATGTCCGCCCGCCCGTCCCGACCCGACCCGCCCGTTAGGGCTCTCGCGTGCTCGCTCGTGTATGCGCCACACTTCAATGCCCCGCCCGCCCGACCCGACCCGCCCGTCAGGGTCCGCCCGCCAGACCCGACCAGTTCGTTAGGGTCCGCCCGCCCGTCCCGACCCGACCCGCCCGTTAGGGCCCTCGCGTGCTCGCTCGTGTATGCGCCACACTTTAATGCCCCGCTCGCTCAGCCCGACCCGCCCGATAAGGTCCGCCCGCCCGACCCGACCCGACCCGGCCGCTAGGGTCCGCCGCCCGTCCCGACCCGACCCGCACGTTAGGGCCCTCTCGCTCGTGCATGCGCCACACTTTAATGTCTCGCCCGCCCGACCTGACCCGCCCGTCAGGGTCCGCCCGCCCGACCCGTTAGGGGCCACCCGCCCGACCCGACCCGCCCGTCAGGGCTCTCGCGTGCCATCTCGAGTGCGCCCCACACTTTGATGTCCCGCCCGCCCGACCCGACCCGCCCGATAAAGTCCGCCCGCCCGACCCGACTCGGCCGCTACGGGCCACCGGCCCGTCCTGACCCGACCCGCCCGCTAGGGTTCTCGCGTGCTCGCTCGTGTATGAGCCACACCTTAATGTCCCGCCCGCCCGACCCGACCCGCCCGGTACGATTCGCCCGACCCGACTCGTCCGTTATGGCTCTCGCGTCCGTCGGGGCAGTGTGGACCAGGGACGGGCGCCCGCCCCCGCACCACGAGGCTGCTGCGCGGCTCGCACTGGGAACCCGCCGACAGCCTGGCCGGCTGGCCCTCCCTCCCTCCTGCCGACCTGCCGCCCTCCCAGCCTCACGCCCTCCGCCCCCCCCTTCCTCCCTCCTTAGCGCCTTCCCTCCCTCCCTCCAGGGACCTTAAAAACGATCCGGCTGGGAAGCGCGGATCCGACTTGACCCCGTGAGGAGTCCAGGGGCCCAGTGTGAGCCGATTGTTCTTCAAGGAAGCCAGACCATCGAGCCTGGCAGCCCGCCGTACTATTCCCTGACATCCGTCTTCGCCCGCCGCAGCTTCCCCCGCCACCGCCGCCGTCGTCGTCTGCGTCGTTGTCGCCGTCGGCAATTTGTGTGCGTTCCCTGGAGCTTCTGGAAGTCTTCGGGCCATCCGCCACGCCTCGTGCAGAGCTGTCCGGGGAGCCCAGGGAGACTTGGAAGGGGGCTCGGGGAACGCAAGGCAGCGTGTCGAAAGGAACGGGGAGGGCCTTACGCTATTACAATCACCCTACCAGACGGCACTAGGCATTCGAAAACGCCCACGCCGGGCAAGCACGGTTGCGCAGGACATGGAGCCTGGATTCTGGACAGGCCTTCTCCTTTTGTACACGGGCCATTTACCCTCCAAGGCATCCGGTGTCATGCCATGGCATGCAATGCGATGTTGCGTTGTGCTCCGCTGTGCGATGCCATGCTTTGCGATGTTATGCTTTGTGATGCAGTGCTACACTACGCAATGCCAAAACATGCTATGACATGCTCTGCTCTGCCGCGCTCTTCCACACCGTGCAATGCCGTGCTTCACCATGCATCGCAGACCCTCTTGGGATCATTGCCTTGCTCGACATCCGCCTGCGCGCAGAAAGAGGAGATCTGCGCCATGGCAAGGCTTGGGAGGGAGGGGCATGACGACAGACATGACGCGAGCGCACCTGGCTTGGCCCCTCCCCTCCCTCGCTGGAGCCCTGCCCCTCTGCAAGGTCCCCTCGTCCCACGCCCGTCGGCCCGCCCCTCCCGACCTGCTCTCGCGGCCTCCCTGGGGCATGCGTCGCCGAGGAAGGGGGGCCCCAGCCGTTCGGCTGCACGCAAGAGTGACCCTGGGTAAGAGTGACCTTTGGTGCGCGGCTCTTTGGGGCCGCGGGGGGGGGGCCAAAAACAAGCGCGCAAGCCGCTGCTACCGCTTCCCTTTCGGCCATCTGGGGGCCCATCTGTGCCCGCGCATCAAAGGTCACTCCGGCGAAAGGTCTTTCTTACGCCTAGTCGAGCCGTGACCACGGCACATCGCCCGTGGCATCGTTCCACCGCTCTCCTTCCCTCGCCCCCGACCCAAGAGGGCCCGGTGCGCGGCCGTCTCCTTGTTGTAGTATCGTGCGCCCTGCGCCCCCGCGTGGTCCAAGATCAGCGTAGGGCCCCCTGCGGGCGAGCCGTCACCGCGGCCGCCACCGCCGTCGTCCCGTCGTCCGGGCGTCGTCGTCGCAGCCGTCGCCGATGCCCTCGTCGCCGTCGCCGACGCCGTCGGTGCCGTCGCTGCCGTCACTGTCGCCGTCGTCCGAGCGTCGTCGTCGCAGCCGTCGTCATCGTTTGGGCGTCGCCGTCGCCGATGCCGATGCCGTCGTCACCGTCGCTGCCTTCGCTGTCGCCGTCGCAGTCGCAGCGCGCGCCAAGGGGCGAGAGCTAGAGCCCACCGTGGGGCAAGCCTCGCTGCTTTGTGGGGCCTCCAGCGGCGATGTGGGAGTGTGTCTTTGCCTTCCGCTCTCAGAAATCTCCAGGAGCGAAACGGATCTGCTATTTTCATTTTGCGCGCACGTCTTTCTACATTACAACAAGTTATGTAAGCCACCGTGGGTCCCACAAAGTGTGTTTCTAGCAGTACATGCTGTGCAATCTATGTGGGCCAGCACATGTGGTGCAATTCGTTTGTGCTCGCAACGAGTTGTCTATTCCACTGCTCGCGCAACCATCCCACCCACCCACCCGCAACTTCGCTTGCGTAAACCAATGCGGCGGCGATTGCGATGAGTGCTTGGCGTTGGCTGGTGCATTTCTGCGGCCGCGCAAGCCCGCGCATGCTTGCGCGCGCAGCGGCCAGCTAGTTTGGCGCGACAGGCGCGGCCGCGGTGGCGCTAACCGCTCGGACGACGATGACGGCGTCGTCGCGTCGGTGATGAAGTTTCTGGCAGGAGTTCGACATGCGCGCGCGGCCGACGCGCGAGAGTGGCCCGTATTGTATTATTCGGCACGGATCGTGTCCCCCCCAGCACGCTCGCAAGGGCAAGGACGTTTGAGTGATTTCGGCATGCGGCGCGAGAGGCCCGCTTGATTTGAATTCGAATGTTTAAAAAGAAACCATGGTTCCCTTACGGATTCGCAGGAGCGCGAGCGCAGGCAATTTTGAAACGTGAAGTTGCAACACCATGCGTTTTGTATATGTTTTTTCGGGCCACTCGATTTGGCAATCCCTACGAAACCTAAGGTTTTGTTGAACGATTTCGGCATTCGCGCGCGACGACGCGCACGCAAGCGCACTTCGTCCGGTTTGTTGCAAGAGATTCTTGCGACAACACGCGCGCAAGGGCGTTCGAGAGATTGTGGCACGCGCGTGCGAGTGGCACGTTTGGCAGAATTGACTGACCATGTTGGAGATACCATGGTTCCCCGAAGAATTCGCAAGATCCCGATAGCTGGCTTTTTTTGAAAATCCCTGTTGCGCAACCATTTTTCTGATAAGCAACTGTTTTCCGGGCACTCGATTTTGAAATCCCTGCGGGACCCACGGCTTCTGAAGGATTTCGGCGTGCGCGCGCTACGGCGCGCGCGCGTGCACTTGGCCCCGTTTTTTTGCAGAAGGGATGGTTGAACACGGTGGATTTTTGATAAACGAATGCGCGCGTATAGTCTGTTTTTTTGGGGGGGCCAAAGGATGAGAGGGGGTGGGGGGGCGAACTCTGGCCTGGCGGGGATGGTACGAACTCGTGTCTAGGATGGAAGATGGGGCAGAATCGTATGTAACTTGCACCCGTAACTTGGTTGCCGTTGCGATGGGTGCTTGGTGTTGGCTGGTGCATCTCTGCGGCCGCGATAGCCCGCGCGTGCTCGCGCGCGCAGCGGCCAGCTAGTTTGGCGCGACCGACGCGAACGCGGTGGCGCTAACCGCTCGGCACATCCCACCGGGCACTTTAGTGCGAGTCTGCGACTTGAGCGGGCGCGGTATCATGGCCACGTCGACAACGGTAGACACGAAGATGATCGTAGCGATGCTGGTGACGATGCTGACAGCGACGACGGGGCAGCCAGTGACGGCGCCGATGCTGATCACGCCGACGACGATGACGGCGTCGCCGCGTCGGTGATGAAGTGCGCGCGCGGCAAACGCGCGAGACTGACCCGCATGGTATTATTCAACACGGATCGTGCCCCCCCAGACGCGCGCAAGGGCGTTCGAACGATTTCGACATGCGCGCGCGAAGCCCTTTTGGTAGCATTTTTTGAAATTTGTGAACAGCTTGTGGTTTTCTTAAGAATTCGCAAGAGCGCGCGCACGCTTTTGTTGAACATCCGTGTTGCGAAACCCTGTGTTCTTGTAAATGTTTTGAACACTGGATTCTGAAATCCTTCCGAAACCGAAGGTTTTTGATGGAGTTCGGCATGCGCGCGCGACGACGCGCGCGTGTGCACTTCGTCCATGCTTCTGCATGGGATTCTTGAACATTTCTGATGTTTGATAAACGAGTGCGCGCGCATAGTATGTTTTGCAGAGGATGGCGGGGGGGGCGATACCGGCCTGGCTGGGATAGTGTGAATTCGCAGTTAGGATGAACGATGGGGCAGAACCATAGGTAAATTGCACTACGAAAAAAGGGGGGGTCTTTTAGTCCGCAGGGGGGAAAAGTGGTAGAACCTATCTCTTAAAAAAGAGGATACATGTGGTGCACTCTATGTGATGCAATCATGCGAGGCCGGATCGACAGTCCGGCCCAGTCGACGGGCGGCGACGAGGCGGTGACGGCGACAACACAGCTGCCAACACCCACACACACACCTTCGGGCCCAGGCGACGGGCGGCAACGGGGCAGCGGCGGCGATGACATAGCCGCCGCACCGACATTCGGGCCCGGTTCCCCCGAAAAGAGATCAGAACCCCTCAGGGCAAACGCTGTGTGGGGAACACATGATGTACACTGCACAGTCTGCGCTTGCGCTTTGGACTCCCCTTTGGCCTCCAGAGGCCTTCTGGAGGTTAGGATCTGGGGGTGGCGCGGGAGCTCACAAGGGGGCCGATCTCGCTGCCCCCTCGTCAGCTGACGTAGCCCCCCGTTGCCTCCTTCATGCTCCCCCTCTCCCCCTCCCCTGCCGATCCTGCTGCTGCTTTTCATCCTCCCTCCTCCTCCTTCGACCCTCCCCCCTCCTCTCTCCTCCTGCTGCACTGCATGGTATTGCGTTGCATCGCTTTGCGTGGATTGGCATTGCTTTGCACTGCTTGGCATTGCTTGGCATTGCCTTGCAATGCCGGGGAACCCGAGAAACAAGACAAAGAACCCGAAGAACCCAAACGAGGAACAAAACGGGGCAACCCGGGAAACCAAGTATGGAACAAGACCAGAAGACCCTTGTGGAACACGGCCGTGGAACCCCAGGAAGGAAGGAAAGGCACAATCCCAGGGGATCCAAAGCTCTTTCAACGAAGTGAGGCTTGGGACCCCCCGAGGAAGGCCATTCAGAGAACACCAGGCCAGGCAACCCCGAGGAAGGCCAGGGGCCATCGGGCCGGGCCCCCACTGGCTCTTCGCACGCAGGCAAGTACCCCTTAGGCACAGCCTGATTGGGGCACCTCAGCGGAAGCCAGGCGCTTTGCCTCCGAAGGTGGAAGCTTTGGCGCCGCTGCTGCAGAGTGCGTGGCAGGAGGTGGGCGGGGGGCGGTCAGTCCGCGCGAGCCGGAGAGACCGTCGCTCGCCGTCGCCTCGGCGCCGCGCTCGCGCTTCTCGAGACGTGGGCCCCGGCTTGGGCGCGGCGCACACTTGCCGCTCGTCGCCCGCCGCGCCGTCGACGCGCGAGCGGGCGAAGATGTCGCTCGCGCCCCGGCGCCGCGCGGAGGCTTCGCCCGGAAGCGGCGCTCCCGCCTCGGCGCAGCGCCTGCTCCGTCACTCGCCGTCGCGCGGGGGGGTGGAGCTGATGACTACCTACCAGACCACCCCAACCCAACCCGAAGACCCGAATTTCGGGTTGGGGGGGGGTAAGGGTTCCACATGTGTTTTTTCGATGTTTCCCGACCCCCCCCCACTGGAAATCGAGGGTAAATCTGAGCCTTCGCGTTGGGTTGGGGTGGTTTGGTGGGGGAGCCCCGCGCGACGTGCCGGGCGACGCGCCGCCCCCGCGCAGAGCAGCGCCGTGCAGAAGTATAGCGCCCGGGCGTGGCGTGCCCGCACCGCTCGGCCCCGACGTCGGCGGCAGCGTGGCCGCGCGCGAGCGCCTTCCCGTCGCTGGGTGGAAGCGCGTTCCCATGCCGGTGTCCCGTTGTGCCGGAGGCGGAGGAGGAGGAGGTGGAGGAGGAGGAGGAGGAGGAGGAGGAGGAGGATGAGCAGGAGGAGGAGCAGGAGGAGGAGGAGGAGGAGGAGGAGGAGGGGGAGGAGGGCCAGGCGGCGCAGGCGCGCGGCAAGAAGGGAGCACGACGGCAGGGACGGGGAGCACCGTGGACTGTGCTGCTGCGGGAGAGAGGGCGGGGCCGGGGAGCGCCGACGAAGCCGCTCGACCTGGCTGGCTTGATGCACGTCCCGACGCCTCCTTCGTGCCTGCTCCCATTCTGCCACCCAGCCGGCCGATGGGGACCCGATCCGGGCCCTTCCGCCCCACCTGTTCCAGAAAACGATGCAGAGTGTACGTCGTTGGCATCAGCGTGGACACTCTGTCGTCCATGTCGCAAAACGCGTGGCAGGAATGGGGGCGGGGCGCGCATCCCGCGCGAAAGGCCGACACGTGTCTCTCGCCTCGACGCCGCGCCCAGTGTTCTGGAGAGCTGAACTCGCGATCGGCCGCGGCGCAGATCTGCCGCGCGCATCTCTGGCCGACCCGCGCGCTGGCGCACGTGCAGCTCTCGCCGCTGCGCCGCGCAGACCTCGCTGGAGCGACGGCGCTTCTCCGCCACGGCGCGGCGCGCGCGTGCCACTCGCCGCCTCTTCGGGGCCCGCGCGCGAGGGGGCGCCCCGTCGCCCTCGTCGCCCCCGCCCGAGCTCCGTGCGCCTTCGGCTCGACGCGGCGTGACCGCGCGCGGGCGCGGCGCAGGGCTCGCTCGCTCGCCGCAGGCGCAGGGCAGCGGCAGCGGGCACACCGGAGCGCGGGCGGCGCGAGGGCGGGCAACAAAAGTGCCGGCGGCGTCGCCCCGAGAACGCCGCGCGGCCTGTGAGCGAACGCGGCGGTGCTGCTTCCGCGCGGCGCGTGCCTCGTCTGCGCCGCGCCCCTCGGGAGTGACGCCGCTCCCGCCCCTGCGCGGCCCGCGTCGGCTTTCTCTCCGCCACGCTGTGGGAAGCGGGGCCGCGCGCGAGCTCCTACCGTTGTTGGCGAGGTGGGAGTGCGCTCCAATCCCAACACCAAGTTGTGCCCCGATTGACTATTTTTATGTTGTGGGGGCGAGGGTGGGAGCAGGCGGGGTCCTCTGACTCGCTCGACCTGGCTGACTTGACTCATACTCGTACTCCACCGCTTCCCCTTCCTCCTCCTTGTGCCCGGCCTGGGGGTACGACCTGACGTGATGCGTGGCGCAACGGCGCTCGACAAGGACGCTTTGTGCTTCCCTGGGCAGGCATCGACAGGTGCGAGCATCGAAGAAGGCGTGGATGGTAGGAGCGGCAGTGGTCGCCAGCCAGACGGCGTCCCATGCCAAGGGACCTCCATGAGAATCGCCGTTGTGCCCCCCTCCTCCCTGCAAGCACCCGCGTCTGATCTCCAGGATTCGGTGCCCCCGCGGGGTCCTCTCACTTTGCCCTGATCCTGGTAGTACGGCAACTTCTGGCAGATGACCTGCAGGCTGGCATCCTCTGCCCCCTGCGTTGCTCTTCTCTCCCAACCTTGCCCGCGTACTTCCCCGCAGCCGCCTGGCCTACCCCCCCCGACACGCACGCACGCACACAAAAAACGCACCCTCACACATACAAACAAACAAACACACACACACACACACGCACACACACACGCACACACACAATCACAATCACAATCACAAAAACACACGCACACGCACTCAAAGACACACACACACACACACGCACACACGCTCACACGCACACACACGCACACACACGCACACACACACACACACGCTCACACATCCACACACGCACCCCGTACACTGCGTGCTGCACGCAGGCTGCCCAGAGAAAGAACACAGGCACACGCATACACGCACACACTCACGCACACACAACACACCACAACACACCGCACACACAAACACACACACGCATACATACACCATAAGCACGCACACGACACACACCACCACACACAATCACCCACACAGACACACACGCACGCACCAACACACACACACACACTCATACAACACACGCTACACCACACACATAACACACGTGTGTGCGTGTGTGTGTGTGTGTGTGTATGTGCCTGTGCGCGCGTGTGTGCGTGTGTGCGTGTGTGTGTGTGTGTGTGTGTGTGTGTGTGTGTGTGTGTGTGCGTGTGTCTGTTTGCGTGTGTGTGTGTATGTGTGTGCGCGTGTGTGCGTGTGTTGTGTGTGTGTGTGCCGTGTGCGTCTGGGGGTGGGGGGTGGGGCTGGGTGGGGGCTGGGTGTGGATGTGTGTGTGTGTGTGTGTACGTGGGTGGGTGGGTCTCTGTATGTGAGTGCGTCGGGCTTTTTGTGTGCACGTGTGTGTGTGTGTGTGTGTGTGCGCGTGTCTGCGCGCGTGTGCGGTTTGTGCGCGTGTGTGTGTGTGTGTGTGTGTGTGTGTGTGTGTGTGTGCGTGCGTGCGTGCGTGCGTGCGTGTGTGTGTGTGTGCGCGTGTGTGTGCGTGTGTGTGTGTGTGTGTGTGGTGCGTGTTGCGTGTGGTGTGGTGTGTGATGTGTGTGCGTGTTGCGTGTGGTGTGTGGTTCGTGGTGCGTGTCGTGTGTTGTTTTTTTGTGTGGTATGTGCTGCGTGTTATGTGTCGTGTGGTGTGTGCGTGTGTGTTGTGTGTTTGTGCGGTATGTGTTGTGGCATGTGTTGTGCGGTGTGTGGTGTGTGTTGTGTGGTGTGTGGTGTGCGTTGTGTGTGTGTGTGGTGTGTTGCGTGTTGTGTGTTGATTGGCGTGTGGTGTTTGTGTGTTGCGAGCGGTGGGTCGTGTGTCGTGTGCCGAATGTGCTGAGCGTTGTGCCCTGTGCCTTGTGTGTTGTGTATTGTGTGAGCCTTGTGTGTTGTGCCTCATGGCTGTTGTATTCTGTCGTTTGAACAATGTCTTGTGAGTTGGATCGTGTGTCGCGTGGCTTGTGTGTTGTGTGTGGTGTGTGGTGTGTGTTGTGTGTTGTGTGGTGTGTGCTGTGTGTTGTGCGATATGTGGTGTGTGCTGTGTGGTGTGTTGTGTGTGTGTTGTGCTGTGTGGCGTGTGTTTTTTTTTCTGTGTGGTGTGTGGTGTGTGGTGTGTGTTGTGTGTTTGTTGTTGTGGGTGTTGTCGTGTGTCTTGTGGCGTGCATTTTGTTTGGTGTGTGTTGTGTGGTATTTGGGGTGTGCTTTGTGTGTTGTGCGTTGTGTGACGTGTGCTGTGGGTGGTGGGGTTGTGGGTTGTGTGTGTGGCCTGAGTTGTGTTGTGTGATTTGTGTTGTGTGCTGTGTCGTGTGTGGGGTGTGGTGTGTGGTGTGTTGTGTGGGTGTTGTGTGTTGTGTGGTGTGCGTTGTGTGTTATGTGGTGTGTGGTGAGTATTGTGTGTGTGCGTGGTGTGTGTGTGTGTGTGTCGTGTGCTGCGGTTTGTGTGTTGTGTGGTTTGTGGTGTGTGGTGTGTGGTGTGTGTGTGCTGTGTGTGGTGTATAGTATCTGTTGCGTGCTGCGTGCTGTGTGGTGTGGGTTGTGTGTTGTGTGTTGTAGTCTGTATGTTATGTGGTGTGTGGTGTGTGTTGTGTGTGGCGTGTGCTGTGGCGTTTGGTGCGTGCTTTGTTTCATACTGTGTGTTGTGTGTCGTGTGCTGAGTGTTGTGTGTTGTGCGTTATGTGCTGTGTGGTTTGAACTTTGTGCTGTATGCGCACGCACACACCCGCATGCGCGCGCACACACACACACACACGCACCCACACACACACACACACACACCCACACACACCCCACCACTCCCAGACCTCCACATCCCCAAACCTCCACACCCCCACACCCTCGCACCCCCCCCCACACACACAGACACACACCCCACCCAACCACCCTCACACTCCCACCCCCCCCGCCAACACCGCCACACCGCCCCACACCCCCACATCCCAACGACACCCCCTCAACCCCCGCCCAACACCCCCACACCCCAACGACCCGCCCCCCCCCCCCCCCCCCCCAAAAAACAGCCCCCCTCCCCCCCCCCCCTCAGACATCCTCACGCACCCGCGCACCCACACACCAACGCACACCCAAACACCCACACCCCGACACCCCCACACCCACACACACACCCACACACCAACACCCACACACCCACGGACCCACAGACCCGCGCACCCGCACACACCCACACACACATGCGCACACGCGCACGCGCACATGCACACACGCACGCTCACAAATGCACACGCGCACACACGCACACACGCGCAAATGCGAGCACGCGCACAGGCACACACTCGCGTACGCACAGCGTGCACACGCAGACACGCACATACGCACACATGCGGACATGCTCGCAGACACTCACGCACGCATGCACACATGCACACACGCACGCACGCACACATGCACACACGCAAACCCGCACATCCACACACCCACACATCCGCACACCCGCACACACACACACACGCACGCACACACACACATACACACACACACACACGCACACCCACACGCACACGCACACGCACATCCGAGCACCCGCACACCCACACACCCAGACCCCCACACCCCCACACCCCCACAATCCCACACACACCCACAAACCTACACACCCACACCCCCACACTACAGGCCCCCACACCCTGACACCCCCACACACGTGCACACCCACACACACACGACGCACACGCGCTCACGACACACACGACGCACACGACGCACACGACGCGCACGACGCACACAT